TATTAGTAATACACAGATGGGGTTCAGAAAAGGGCTTGGTGCTCGAGAAGCTCTCTTCGGTTTGAATGTTCTCACACAAAGACTAACTACGTTCCACGTTTAGAAAATAACATTGCGGAGATAGGGCCATGTATTTCTTATGGACGATAGCAACGCGGCATTGCCACGACACACAAAAGCACAATTTAGGATTGTATAATTTGTATTTTTGTTTCCACAAACATGAATTAAATTAATGTTTTTTAACGTAATTGACCAAAAGTGCCCATTCGAAACAAGAGATGAAAAGTAGGGAAAATTATTTTAATTAGATAAATAGTATTTACAAAAGATAATTTTATTTTATCTTATTTTAATTATAGTAACGACAGTTTATTTGTTTTTCGGTGAGAATACGATATGCCATGAATCATAGAAATCAGTAGAAAATATTGACCGCTTGGAATGCGTATATCTAATTACTAATTGCAACTTAAAATAATACGATGTGCGTATGTCAGCTATTTTATGTCGTTCTCTGACTACATAATGATAATAAGGCTTTTATTTAGTAGTTATTCTGACTTTACAGTTAAATGTTAATTGAAAATGAAAATTCAAAAATTAAGCAAAGGGAATGTCTTGGACATTCGTGCAAAAGAGAGTGTCTGAGAGTTTTGGCAACACTGATCTCCATAAGCGTAATGTTATTTTCTTAACTTGAAACAAAGGATAGACGTTAATCAGGAGGTACATACGTGTTTTATCGATTTTGAAAAAGCGTTTACATAGATAATAAAGATCTGCGAATAATTCTCAATCTATATTAGGCACTCAAGTTAAAAAAGTATCAAGTTACAAATACTTGGGAACTTTAATAAACGAAACTGGAGACCAAAACAGTGAAATAAAAAGACGTATCGAAATTGCCAGGGCCACCTTCATAAAGATGAGAAAATTCTTCTGCAACAGAAATATAAGCATCCCTCTACGATTAAGAATGCTGCAACTCTTTTCGAAGACATACCCCTAAATTTGTAACGTAACTCTTGGTACATGCATGATGGTGCACCACCATTTATAGCCTAGAAGTTGGAAATTATCTTGATGAAATTTATCCTCAAAGGTGGATTGGTAGAGGTAGTGTATACCCATGGCCGGCACGCAATACCGAACTAAATCCCTTAGATTTTCATTTGTGGGGCTACCTAAAGTCACTTGTTTATAAAAAAAATCGTCAAGAGTTATGGCAAAATATTGTAGAGGGAGATAACGTAATTAGGACCCAAAGAAACTCATTATTTAAAATAAGACAAAATTTACATAAAAGATTTAGATTATGTAGTTTATCTAATGGTAAACATTTTGAACAGTTATAATATTTTTTTCGTTTAGTTTTAAATTATTGACTTTGTCAATTGTTTTATATTCACTTCATTGTTTAATTTAATTGAATTTCTGTTTTTTTTTTTTAATTTGTTACTGTGTAAAAGGTTTAATAAAAATAATTGTTTCAATCATTGATGTGAGAGTCTTCGAAAGATCGTCAGGAAAGGTGTCCCTGGTGTGTTGGATTCAGTCTAAACACACTCCTCTTCCTCCAGCCGACGGGTCTGGATCCGCTCTTAGCGAGCATGTCTGACCCGTCTCCCCCTAACACCCGCAGCGTGAATTCCATGGATTGGTCAGCCTCCCGGACCCCCCCCCCAACGAATCGACCGAGGGCGGAAAAGAGGGCGGTCGGGACGCTTCCCAACCCAAGATGGAACCAACCATAAGATGTCAGTCGGCAGTTACGAATAACTCCAGTCGTTCATACCTTCATCTATTCACTCTTTCTCATCCACCCATTCATCCATACTTAGTCTCATTCAACGCCAGTCATTCCTTACTTTCATCTAGACACACCTACTCATCCTACCATTCATTTTCACATTTAGATGGGGCAGTCTGTGTAGGTCGAATGTAAACGATCCCTCCCCGCTGACTGTCCCCAGACGAAACATGACAAACAGGAAGGAAATAGACCGAAAAAAAGGAGATGATAGGAAAGAGCAAAGATATGATTAGAGAAGAGAGAAAGAAGAGGAAGGATGAAATGTCAGTCAGTGTGGTTTGGGTGTATAGGGTCCTCCCCCCACTGACTGCCTTTGACGACACAAGACACGTTAAAAAATAAATATACGGTCATCCTGTCTTCAGTCGCCTCCCTTTTTCTTCTTTATGCTTTGCTGACATGCTGCACGTTAACGACCACTAAATTTAGTGCTGAATTAAAAGCATTTCTTATGTCCAGCAAAACAAGGACCACCCATCTTTTCTTGCTTGTCTTGGCCGCGTCTCTTATCCAGGTTGCGGCATTGACTGTCGATCTGCCTTTTCGGAATCCGTATTGTTGGTTTGAAAGCACTCTCTCATCTTATAACACGCGCTCCAGTCGCCTCTTAATAAGTCTCATAGAACTTACCAAGGCCCTCCAGGAGGCATATTGGCCGATAAGAGGCTGCTGAATCGGGGAGTTTCCTAGGCTTTAGCAGTAGAACCAAGTTCGCTTCCTTTAAGTCCCTGGGAAACTCTTGCCTCTGCAGTAAGTCGTTGTATATTCTTCTGATCAAGCCTGGGTTCTCCGTTGCTAGTACTTTTATTGCCTCTGGTAGCAGCCCGTCTGGGCCGGAAGCTTTCCCTGTCTTTATCTCCTGGCCAGCGGTTCCTCTCCCGTTAACTCCTCTACCATCATTGGAAATATCTTTATAAAATTTTGAGGATCTTTGGTAGGGAAGAGGAGTTCGGCTGATTCCATCCGCTGGTCTACGTCGTCTATATGGGGCGATTATCTTAAGAGTCTTCATGGTTATCTTGTACGCATCGCCCCATATATCCTCGTCCAATGCTTTTATCAGGGTCTGCCACTTTTCTTTTTTCTCTTGTTTTATTTTTTGTTTAACGTTTTCTTTAGATCTATATATATTTCTTTGAGCTCCAGGCTGCCCTTGCTTCTCGTATAATTCCTTCGATTTATGAGGCATCTCTCCCGTAGACCTTCTATCTCATCCGTCCACCAATAGGGGGATTTTTTATTATTCTGTCTCTTCACGGTGGCCAACTTTACTGCACTTTCTAGTGCTCTTCTCAGTTGGCCAAGGTCAGAAATATCTTTTTCATTGATCTTTTTGACCTCCGATAGGTTTTGTTGAAATAAATTTTCATGTGTCCTATCGGCCGCCTTATTTCTCCTTTCATCTTTATTTCATATTGTATATACCGGTGGTAAGTGTATAACTGATCGTCAAGGACATCCCACCCGTGCACTCTCCTGGATAGCCCTTCACTCGCGAACGTAATATCGATGTGTGTTCGGCTGCCCCCCCCCCTTACGAAAGTTGGTTTGTTATTGTTTAATACTTGGAGGTCAGCCTGGGCTATCCATTCGTTCCATAGTTCACCCTTTTCGTTATTTATGACAGGGCATAAACGGTCAAGCCATCCTGTCCATCCTATGCCCTTCTTCTTTACCCTGCATATCTGCATATCTCTTACTTTTTATTCTGCTTATTTGCATGACTTTGACAATAACTATCATTTGAATGATATGTTTCTTCACCGCTGTCAATTTCGACAATATTTATTTTTGCAGATGTCGTGCAAAGAAATTATAAATTAATACGTCGCGTCGGAGGGTTAGAGCTTCATTTCAGAGAAAACTAAATTCAAATTAGAATTATTTGCGTAAGTTTTTAATTAAATCTGTCTTTCTGCGACTGGCAAATATAAAGCGTAGTAATATCTAATAAATTTTCATCGTCCTTTAATAAAAGCTTTAAATAAGTGGATCATCTTTTATAATTCATATCTCGATGATGAATTCTAAAAGTTTTTTTGGGGCAATTAAAGAAACTGCTCTCCAATAGTTAATGGTGCGTTCTTTTTAATTACTAAATAATAAAATGAGTATTAGAATAGGATATTCTCGAACAATAGGGTTAACTGGTTTTCTAAAAAATATGGTGGAAGTAGATAATTTGCATATAAACCAAGTTTTCCATTCGAACTGGTAGAAATCAATCGGAAGAAATGGGTATTTTAAAAGGAATAGAACAAGGTTATGTACTGTCGTCGTTACTGTTTAACATATTATATACATAATTTTTAACGAAATATTTTGCCTACCACATAGGGTATTATAATAAGGGGTTAAAAATTGGGACAGAAGTTATTGGGGTAGAGATAGAGCAAGCAAAATAAACGATACTGTTGCGCACGGCACTCAGGGTTTATTTGGCGAGCTGGGGTCGTGGATAAGTTGAATGGCAAAGGGTTGGATTAGGGCAACTACAAAAATAAAACACAAAGGTACTTACATGAACCTCCTGGACAAATGGACAAAACAAAACACAAGAAAGACCTCTAGCAATTTAAAATGGACGCCGCTTCGAAGTGCCAAATTATAACGATACACCAATTAGTTGTAAATATTGAATTAATTCTTAGAAATAAAAAATATATCTTTTTAAACGAAACTCAAAAAACAGGTTAGAGAGCTAGTTAAGAGAAATAAACAAAATGATTTAGGAACAAAATTAAACATTTATTGTTGTCTCGCCACAAACAGTTACAAAATATAGATGGCACAAAAGTACTAGATTAATAGTCACAAAAATAAATACAAAAATATCAAAGAGAAACACTTACTATGTCCTAGCCATTTACAAACTCTAAAAGTGGGAGATACTACAAAAACTTACAAATGTTACTGCATGGAAGTTGCTACTTTAAAAAAAACCAATGTCAAAAATAATAAAGCTAGCTGTCATATGCCAACATTATATTTTGAAACAGAACAATTAAAATGACAGCTAATCACGCCCTAAGCCATATATTTTTAATTATTACAAATTCTTTACAAATTCTTAAGAAAGGAATTATTATTATTAGAAAAAAAGTGTCTTTCGTTACTTTAAAATTTAAACACAAAAGTTACCTGGATTGCACTGGGGTTTTAAACAAAAATTCTGGGGTGGAAACTAGACTTCACTGGAATTTCTTGGGGTAGAACTGGGCTTAACCTCTCTGCCACACGAACAAAAACTGCATTTATCATACTGCGTATTACTGAGGTTGGAAGTTGGGGCACTGGAACAGAAGCTTTGAAAACTCTTCTCCTTAAAAAACTGGAACAGGTAGAACTGAACACAATGACAAAATATGGTTATCTTTCAAAACCTCACTTAAAAATGTAACTATTAAATGAACTGCTACTATTCACTACATAGTTTCCATAACAAGAGAAAAAAACAAAAAACATTACAAATTCGACGTAAAATTTGGACCCACTCTGAAGCCAACTGCCGTGACAGCGACCTCAGCGATAATGTCGCAATTATCTTGCCGGCAAAAGGCAAAACCTTCTCAGCGATATAAATGAATGTTTATTTGAAACGCAGAATATTAAGCGGCTTCAATCAAAAGAAATACTGAGGAAAACGCATCTGTGAAATATAAACAAACTCTAAAAATGTGTTTATTAGCAACCTCGGTGACGCAAATAAAAGGATTGCAATTACTTTTGGGTATTTTAACTTGTCCGATAGGAACAAGATACATGGAAAATATTCTTCGGTATTTTAATACATATACGAGGCGATTTCAATATATACCAAGGAATTTGGAAATGCTACAAATTAGGCATAGCTGTGGTTGTGAAATGTGGTCAATCCGTTATGCCGCTTTAATTTATACAAAAAAATTTTCAGGAAACGAATTTTAAAGTTTGCTGTCAAATAAAACGGTTCCGACAAAATTATATTTTGCCAGATGTGTTATATATTTTTGTTTAAGGATTTGGTAATACAGTAATTCATATAACAATGCGGTCGTTGTCGTATAAAATGCAAATGTCATGGTTTTTTCAAAATATTACACTTGTACTTGGAACCTTATGGCACTGTAACCGCTGTACGTGGAAGTTTATGTCCCTAAATGGATTTGAAGTTTTAAAAATATGTCATCATTGTAGACTTTATTGCCTTTGTAGCACCGATAACAATAACAGCCTATACAATGATATTGGAAGAATTTTTAAAAGCATAGGAAAAAAAATTAACGAAGAGTAAAAAAATTAACTTTTATTTATAAACTGTTTTGTTTCAGAAATCAAACATTTCATGTAATTTTGATCTTTCAGTGGCATCCATTTATACGCAAACTCAATATCCTCAAGCTTTTTCTCAGTCACAGATTTGGGTTCTGTGTTATCGGCCGGAGCTACTAAAAAGTCAGCAGTGGAATTATTTAAGGGAACCACTCCTTGTTTCTTCCTAGTACTGCTGGTAACTTTACTAACATTGATTGTAGAAAATTCGGCGCTGTGATCATTCAGCTTATACTTAACACGAAACATGTCCCCTTGGATAAAATGTAGTTGACAAACTTTAGTGTAAGGTCATTTATTATATTGGTACAATAATGCTGTTTTTTTAAGTTTTTTAAGTGTGTTGGTTTCATATTAATCACACAGAATGGCTTTCGTCTGTTAACGTTTAACAAAAGTCTAACCAGCGCTAGTGGAGCGCTGTTCATAGCTTTTTCTGTGCAAGAATGGATATTATCGACAACCTGTATGCACGAAGGACCAGGTATGGAGTATTTCATAGTTACCATTTGGATATTAGGATGTTTGTTCATGACGTTAGTCGTTGGATATCCGATACCAATTTGTAAAAACGTTTATTTATTCCATATTGCTATACGGAGTTGAAACATGGACTCTCGGGATTACAAGTATGAGGCGTATAGAAGCCTTTGAGATGTGGGTTTTTCGAAGGATACTGAAGATCTCCTGGACAGACCACGTGACCAACAACGAGGTGCTAAGAAGAATGGGTACTGAGAGAGAACTCCTAAATATTGTAAAAAACAGAAAAACAAATTATCTAGAACATATTTACAGAGGAGAAAAATACAACTTTATACGACTTATAATGGAAGGGAAAGTGAAAGGAAGAAGAGGTCCAGGAAGAAGAAAATGCTCCTGGTTGAAGAATGTAAGAGACTGGACAGGTATGGATACACATTCGATACTAAGAACAGCTCAAGATAGAGAGCAATTTTCTGTAGTTATAGCCAACCTTCAGTAATGGAGAAGGCACCTTAAGAAGAAGTTCATGAAATCAGTGATTGCTACTGAGATCAGGGAGTTCCTGTTCTGGGCAACACAACACAGTTTACCTGATTATCTCATTTATTTTAGGATGTTTTAAAACTACTTTCTCTAAAATTTGTATTAGGACACTATAATCATTATAGACAAATCATTGCCTGATCTCCCACATAATGTTTCTTGCCATACTACACAGTAAAGTTCTAAATCAACAGAACTGTGAGCTGTTAGATTGTATACATTTAATGTATGTTTGTAAAGCAGTACAGAGACTTCAGATTTAGGTAGATTTATGACATTTTCCAGATCAAAACATATAATGGCGCAGTTTGATTTCTGTTTTTTTTTTGTCCTTTTTAATCAATCTATAAATTTCTATTTTACATCTGGTTGGTTCTTTGCTGACTACTATTGTTTTAGTTTTCTGGGATCTACATCTTCTATCTTTATCTTGGGCTATCAATATTGCGTCATCTGCGTAACATAGTATTTTAATTTCTTTGTTTCCCATTCTGTATCCTCTTCCTTTGTTAACGCTTTTAATGATTTAATCCAGGATCAAATTGAAGGTCATGGGGCTCAATGAATCTCCTTGTCTTATTCCGCTGCCTATTTCTATAGGTTCTGTAAGTTGTCCATCCATTCTAGCTTCACTTTTGTTGCTTTGGTAAAAGTTTTCGACAGTTTTTATAATATTTAGATGAGCTTCTCTATTATACAGAAGATGGATTACATATTTGAGTCTTACTCTGTCAAACACTTTCTTTAGGTAAATCAGACACAGAAATGCTGGTCTATTATACTTTAGTGATTTCTCAGTAATTTGCTGTATAACGAATATTGCATATGTACACGATCTTCCACTACGAAAATCCTGTTGTTCATTTGCGAAACTTATCCTCTGATTTATTTTCACTTGTAAAATTTTAAATGTAAGTTTTAGCGTAGTAATTGAAAAGTTTATACCTCCGTAGTTTTCTGCCTGTTTTTATCTCCTTTTTTTGATAGTAGAATTGGTTCGCTCATTCTCCATTCTTCCGGCATTTTATTGTGTTTTATAATTTTATCAATTAATGTTGTTAACTGTTCTTGTCATTGCTGCTCCACAAAATTTCAGTAACTCGTTTTTTATCCCATCTTTACCTGCTGCTGCTGCATCCTGTAAGCTTTCGATTTTTATCTTTGTGGTGTATTCTGGAGTTTTGTTATCACATATATGTGTTTTCATTCGAATTTTGCACAATACCAATTTATGATCGCGTCCTATTTCTGCTGATGTTGGTGCTCTTACATCCAAGATTTGAGAGGGCTGTAACTCTCTATTCGACAGAATATAGTCTATCTTAGATCTTTGTCCTCTACTGTGTAAGTGTATTTGTCTTGTTCTGTGTGGAGGAAAATGTATTATGAATACGTATCTCGTATCCACGGTCAGACGAATGAAAATTATTAAGTTCTCGGAAAGAACCGCGTTGAGAATTTAAAACTCGACGTTTCGACACCCATTTTGGAGTTATTATCAAGAGTGATACGGTTCCGTTCGAGTTCGGGGTCTCAATCTGCCTACTCCACTCACTCGTGACGTACCAGTATCGTGTTCTGTATAAATACAAGAACTGTCAAACGGCACTGAGGTCGCAATCTGCCTACTCCTCAGTGTCGAGTGACGACTGGTCTTACAACGACTGGTTTTTCAATTTCGATAGCTTCACGGATGCTTCTTGATTTTAAGGAGCGGATGGGGGCGATGGTTCTTGCTTTTTTGAAATCTATTTTGTGGCCTGTCTGAATATAATGTTGGGCTAGGGCTGAAGTGGTATCGGAATGTTATAATGATATAAAATGTTCGTAAATACGGTTCTGGATTCGACGGTTTGTCTGTCCTATGTATTATGTGGGCACCTGGAACAAGGAATCTCGCAGACACCATGTTCTTCATTAGGAATTTGGTTTTGTACGGATCTGACGAGATTGGAGAACTTGTGAGTGAGTAGTGAAGATGGTTTTGATGTTTAAATGAAGAAGAGTTCTACTAATCTTGTCAGTAACGTCTTTAATAAAAGGTAGAAAGATTTTGGTTGATCCGGCGGCAAGGTTTCTTTATTGGATGGAATGGGGTTTAGATGTTTTTGAATGCTCTTATTGATTTGGGTTTTGTGGTAGCCGTTTTGTAAGAGTGTTTGCCTTATTGAATTGATTTCAGATGACCTATGATTGTTGTCGCTAAGTCTTATGAAACGAGAAATGAGAGTGTTAACAACTGAATTGAGTTGGGCGGGGTGATGATGAGACTGGCTATTAGGTTATTATTTTTTAAAATCATCCTCAGTCCCCTACAAAAAGTAATGACATTGGAATATAAGTAAAAAATAAACAAGCTTCATACTTACAAAACAATTTGTAGGTTTTTATGATGTTATGAAAACTCTACGATAACTTAACATTAAATTTAAGCAAACTAACCGAGAAAAAAACACAAGAAAAACTGTACGCGAGTACGATTGTTCATTTATTTAATTTTTAGGTGATTTTTTTTATTTTAACCGAGAACTTCATTTGGACGTACTGTTAAAGCTCTTTCAAAGGTAAAACCACACTAATATACTTTCAGTTGTTTGCTATCCGTTGTTGAATGGCATAATTCCACATGTAGCTTGCTTTCGTATATGTGTTTATTTGTAATGCAGTGAGGTACGATTATCGAGGTATCGATACACATTTACAATATTTTAAATGAGTTCCGGGTAGGATATAGAACTGGCTATTCAACTATACTAGACATTCTAGACAAAGTATAGTAAAAATTCAACATGGACAGGGATAAAAAAATGTTTATACATTTTTTGTGTACTTAAGTGCTACTTTTGATACAGTTGATCGGCGGCCCTTTTTTAACAATAAATATTATCATTAAGTGGTTCTTAATGATAATATTTTATACTTGAACATAATATTGTGTGAGTTTCCACATTAT